AGCACCAAAGAAAAAAAAAAAAAAAAAAAAAAAAAAAAAAAAAAAAAAAAAAAAAAAAAAAAAAAAAAAAAAAAAAAAAAAAAAAAAAAAAGGAAAAGGAAAAGCACCTGTCTGACACTGACCTGGATAAATGAGAAAACATTCAAAAACATTGACGGATATTTCAAAACAAACAAACAAAAAAAAGAACAGGAAAAGGGGAGGGGAACAGTTCTGCCTGACACTGACCTGAGAATTGGTAGGAAAACAATTAACAGATAAAAACTTTCCAGGTTTTGCAGAATAAAAAACGCAAAAAAAAAAAAAAAAAAAGGTTGTAGGAAAAGTTCTGTCTGACAGACTGACACTGACCTGGATTGATTAGAATAAGATGCAGGTATACATCTTGCAGCTCAGATGCAGCAGCAAGCGCAAGGGAGCCGCCGAATGACTCGCCAAGAAGGTAAATGGCTCTCCCAGGATTCAGCTTGTGCTCGGTTTCAACCGTTGTTCGAACCAAGTCCACCAATTCTGGTTCACAGAAACAGTAAATAACTATTGTTGGTATCCACTGGAAGACTTCATCAAGATCCAAATTCATTCAATGGATCGGGACGGGTTTCAGAAAAGACACATAAGAGATGCTGATTGCAAGAAAAAAGTTGGACAAATGATGAGGAAACTCAGGAAAGAGAATAATAGAAATATGCTGGTCATCAACAACAACACTCAGCAACTTGCATTATCGGAGCGTGTGTTCAAAATTGAAAAAGAAAAAACTTTGAAAAAAGAAATAAAAGAAAGAAAAAAGGAAGTGTGCAGAATTGCGCAAGCAATTTGTGAGCAGCAGGGCTGGCAAGGGTGCTTTTTTTTCTTTTCTTTTTTTTTTAAAAAAAAAGGGCAATGGCCTCAAGGTGTCCGTGTTGGACTGACTCGCCCCAGGTAAATTAAATTCTGCCGTAACGTAGTGAGCTACTAGTGAAACCACCCGTACCTCCGAGAGCCCCTTCTTCCCGACAAAGGGATTTCTGCTGTGCGCCGATTTTTGTCAAACCGGCAAAGGAACAAAAACAAAATCGCTTGTTTTTTGGCTGACACCGCCAGACTTGTCTCATATCACGAGGCCTAACCGCTCAGTTAATCCCACTGCGTAACCTGGGGTAATCAATGCTGGCGGAATGCTCTCGAGCTAATCTTGTGGATGATCTTGTTATACAGGGGGACGCTGGACCCGGTTTCCAGCAGGTGCAGCTCCCCACCAATAGATGGAGCAGCCAGGGACAGCTACTAGAGGCGGCTGCTCTTATCACCCCCTCTAGTAGTGGT